TTAGCTATCTGTTGCTCGAAAGTTTTATTTTTACACATTAAATAAATGTAATTTTGGCCTTAGCTCAGATTTGTCTGCTGCATACATTGCCTTCCTTTTGAATCATAACAATACCGGATGTGTTCAGAATACATATTAAAATAAATTCTTACACAAAATTACTAAATAAATCTTTCTTCAAAAGAAGTTCTGTCTACTTGATTTTAGATTAGCTTCTTCCTTCTTTTTCTAACAGCTAATGTACATTATTTTTTAAAGGGTGAACACATCCATATACATACAATGCAAAAATAACTTCTATGATATTTTAGACTCTATTTTTGTATACTGTTCATTAAACTTGGCTTTTACGATGTACAACTCATATGTTTTAATTTATGATTCATTCTAGACATCATTTAAATAAAATTATGAAATTCTTCTTGGTCAAAATTTGTGATGATGTCTATAAATTAATTCGGTATGTCATTTATATGTTTTAGGCGTTTAATGTAATTCTTCTTAAAACTCCTACATATCGTAGGAGGAAGTATTTTTGTTATTATGTTGCTATTTATTTTAAGTATGTAAGTAGGTACTTAATTAATGTATGAGTTTCATGTTAATATATAACTTATGGTTATGAATTGTGTGGGCATAACTATCCATCCTAAAAGGAACCCAAATCATGGGCATGCAAATTAGTAACATTTACAGGACAGTAACACGCAGTTGACAAACATGAACCACACACAATAGTTTTGTTATTAAATATACAACGACACGAGTGAAAAACAGTAATAATAACACAACATCTTTGTGATTTTGGTTTATTATACATAGTAGCAGTGTTATAATTATTCGGAAGAAGTAATATTGCCAACAAGTCAGTTTGATTGTCGTTAACCTTCAAAATAAATTAACGAAAATTAACGTACGTATTTTAAAGTAAAATCGGAATTTGCTTCGCTTTATGAATACGTTGACATTTCTAGGGTTGATTAAGTCGTAATAAATTGAACTGAATAAGTCATTTGATGCAAAGTTGTATGCGATGAAATTGAATTAGTGCATCAGTCTGAAAGTATTTGATGAAACTTCAAGTACATTATCCTTGTATAAAGTCAAGGCCTCATAAAACATCTCACTGTTCGCATGTTTCGCGAGTTACATAAAAACTAATTATAAAATTGCTTTGTTCTCAGGAGATTAATAATTAAAAACATTAAAATGATATAATAATACGCCCTCTAACATTTTACTACAGTCTACTGCGAAATTTAATTTTAACATGAGTAAACATAAAAAAATATCTATTTTCCAAGCGTATACAAGACCCAATATTCCGTTTGAAGCTAATTACAATATAAAAATATATGACGAATTCTAACTTCATAATAATCTCAGCAGATTTGATAATGGACTTTCGAAATAAATAATTTGCAAAAACCTCTGAAAATAGATATTTATTTGAAGTCAATTACTGACCTGTTATTACGATTGTTTTGTCTTTATTTGTCGATTCAGGCTGTTTTTATTTTTGCTTCTTTTTGCGAATTTTCAATTTTAATTCTTGTTCTGTTTTTACTGCGATTTATACCGCAACTTTGATCAAAATAATTCTTTCACACATAACAAAAAAAAACATAAATTGTTTAACTCCGTTTAGTGAACACAGCTATAAAATCTGACACAATCTTGATGTTATGATAAGAGAGTTAAGAAAAAATATTTTAGTGTGCGTTTGTAAATTTGGAACTACCAATTTCAAAGAGAAATAAATGATATGCTACCGTTGTTTATAAATGGTACTATAAGTATACCAATTTTGTTTTTTGTTAATAGGTAATAAATGATTTGACTGATTTGCCTGACCCAAAAAATATTCAAAAAAATTGATCGAAGGTAAAATTTGGAGATGAAGTCATCCCATTGGTAGTGAGGATGATCAGCCAATTTTGGTTATCGTTTTACCATCTACATGATATTCCTAATATACATAAAAAAATTGACAACCATCGGGCCAGTAGTTTCGGAGATTATCTGTGTAATAAAAATTTGGACAGACGGCAGACAGACAGCCGGCGGAAACGGGAGACCTATTTCTTCGTACTCTTGGAGTCATGAAAGGTCAAGAAAATAAGTAGGGAGTCGGCCGATAGACTCGATTACAATACTACCGTAACTTACGCTCGGGAAGTAAACAAGTAAAACCCGATAAAACTGTTTCCCAGAATTTACAGGAGAAACAAAATGTACTTTCATCTTCTTATTTCAATTGGACAAAATTATTATTTAATTTATATAAATAGCGATTGTTCGAGAAATAAAAAGAGCCAAAAGTGAACAATAAAATTTACCAGCAAATTTTAGGAAAATTACTTGTGAGATTATTGCGGTATGTTTTGTTGTTTTTTTTTTTAATATAATTGAATCATAAAAAAAACTAATACTCCGACTGATAACCTGAGTGATAAAAAATTTCCGAATCCATAAATAATGTGTCTGTATAATTGTATTGTTTCATTTGATAAAAAAAAATTGTTGCAGCGCGCCAGAAAGTTTTTGTTAGTACATATTTTCCTCGGAATGGAACATCGTTGAAACGAACTAACCATGCATAATATCCAACATAAAAGACAAATATTTATTTCATTTAAAATACGTTAAAATAAATAACCGTAGCGCGAATAGTAAAACGAAAATATTCTCTTAAAAGGAAATCATTTTCAACTGAACGATGCCAGTTTATTCTACTTGTACTACATTTTTGTTGTAAAAATACACTTTGCTGAGATGCAAGGTGTCCATGTTTATTTATTTAGTTTTACGACTATATACGACATATAATTTAGAATTTCGGTAACTTTTAAAATTGTAATTATAATACTTTTATATCCTTCTCCTACGATAGTCTGGTGACTGTCCCATTTCCCATTTCATGTTTTATTGACGTTTTGCAGCTAGTAAAATACAAAAATGCAAGTTTCCCTTTCTATCCATGTGTTGGCAATTTTATTAATTTTCAAAACTATTAAATCGATTACTTATGTAGTAAACTATTTTTTCCAAATTTGAACTTGCCTAGTTTTGTATCCGACCCTTCAGTTAAGATTTAATTGCAGTAATTGTAACAATTAGCATAATTTTATCCACTTTAATATGTATGCTTATTTAGTTTACAAGTTTTTAAAACTACTATCTAACAATTTAATAAAAATATGTTATTCGATTTTAAGTGTAAATGCATATTAAATTATATCTAGGCATTTTGCAATATTAAACCATAAACATTAAAAAGCACAAAGTTGGAAAACTAAATTTACCTCTAATGTTAATTTTTACATGACTGAAATTATTTCATACTAATTTTTCACCATGCGGGTATGCAAATTAACGAGAGGAATACTGCAAACAGGTTTAGGGTGATTTGACAACGATATCTAATCTGTATTGATTTGAAACAGCAGTTAGATGCATTTCTGCTATTAGAATACTCCTGTCATTACGATGTTGTAACAATCTTTTTTTGTCTGAGATTTATTTTATGTAATCGCGAGCTGTAACGTAATATTTATAATGTAAAAAATGGCTGTACAAAAATTATTTTTCAAAATTTCATCACCGTTTTCGCTAATGAAATACAAAAAATTTAAAACAAATTTCAGATAAATATTAACTACTTTACTACAAATCTTATAAAGGATATATCAATTCACTATGGTTTTTTGTCCCAAATTGAATAGCTATTAATACTAAGACAAACAATGTGACACTTTGTCATTAATTAAACACAGGCGCACTCAAAACAACAGAAAAACTGAAATTTGCTTTCTTACCTGACCACGAAATTTAACATTCCCAATTGTGAAGAGATCATCGTTTTAAAATAATTCACGACACATTACATACAATACACAACACACTAATTATTTATCCACTAGCAGGAGATCCTATGGGAAATTTTTGTTAACATGACACAAAAAAAATTTTAGATGTTAAAATGTGCAAAACATTTTTGAGACTTGAAGCAACCTAACTACAAAAATTTAAGATCAACATCTAAGTTACAAACTTTTTTAGTCCTTTTTTTGTATAATAGAAGCTACCGTTTTCATTTAAACAACGAATTGCTGTGACCATTGACATTAGTAATTAACCTTTTTTGTTCCACAATCGTTCGAATGATCAACTAATTTCGGTGTTATTGTGACTACTAGTAAAGAAAGCCACTGGAAACACAGGGGAGTTAAATGTAATTTTAACTGTCTGGCATCGGTATTATATGTTAATTTCTTAAAAGGTAAAAATTAATTTATAGGTGTTCGACATTTAACAAAAAAGAATACTTGTGTTTCTCGATAAATTAACAGACCGATACTTCTGCTCACAATTAGTGGCACATATTCAAACTGAAAAATACATATACTATTACGTAGGCATTTGTTGACGACTGATCGACAATTATGATTGTCCAATGATGTACGAAAGAATTCGGCGTATTATTCTTAAAGAGCAGCTTGTAAATTTGTAAAATTTGCACTTTCCAATCTAAATGTACTTTTTAAAAATTGTTATTGTCATTTAAGTTACAAATTCGATTAATGTTGAGTATTTTGTGTGAAATCAAAATTCAAGCATACATCCTTGTGCAAAGTCAAGGCTTTACAATAGGTTATAATATTCACATGTCCCGCCCGTCACTTGAAAACTAATTCTAAACATTACTGTAATCTTTGGAGTTAAAAATACAAAAACGATATAACAATACAGTTGAGCCATAAAGTATTAAAGTGTGAAGAAATAATTATAAAAAATTGGAAAATTTCCCAATTTCATACTTGACTAAGTATTCAAAGTTTAAACCACTTGAAGTTGATGAGTACTGTGAATATGTAATAAATACACCTAATTTATTCGACCTTGACGCATAAGTCGGTATATCCACGAAGTGGCTTTTAAAGTTAATTTAACAATTGTAGAATCTTTTCATAAATTGCATGTTTTTCTGAAATCAAACATTTATGTCTGAAAAGAATTTATTTTTACAGATAATACATTGTAAATAAAATTAATAAAAAATAATGGCACATTGCGTCAAAGCAAAATGTCATGAAAAGACACTTTTCTCTTTAAATAATTATTTTTTTATTTATATAAGTTAAATAATTCCCATTTATATCTCTTAAAAGTACTGTACGATCTAAACAGCTCACAATTTAATCATGGTAAAAAATATTAAATCGGCACGTAGACAGTTACGCTATCATAATGGCAGTTAGTGAAAAATTCAAAACAATAATTTCTCAAACTATTGCAGGAGTGTTTAATGTCTCACTATTCGAAACTATACTCTGCCGTTTACGTCACTTACAATAAAAAAATTACCATGAATGTTATAGAAGGTACCACACCAAAACCATACAATTCAGTGTTAGAAAAGTCCCTTCTTCTTCTTTTCTTTCTTGCCGTCAACGGCTTCTCTACTGCCTTCAAGAGATCTCCTCCTCAGTTCCTCCACAGTGATCTGGTTCTCCTTTTCCCAGTTTTCTTTCTCTGATTCAAATTGCCGCCTCTTCTCTTCCAGCTCCTTGGCTTGTTGCTCCAGTTGTTTTTTCGTCGCTTCGTGCCGCCTCGTCAGTTCGGCTTCGCTATCCTTCAATTTCTGTTTCTTTTCACGAACCTTCATTTCAAACACTTGCTCCATTTCCGCTTCCATTTTCTTCATCTTGAGATCATGTTCGCGCTTTTCTTCATCCATTTGTGCCAATGGATTTTTGTTCGAAATACGCGACGGTTTTCCGTCCACCCCCAGACCGGCCAATTTGCGACATCTGTAATTTTCGTAATGGACATTGTTCGTTACGTCCTTCAGATCTTGCAGATGTGTGCGTATAATCATGTTTCTTAGAGCGATGAAGTCACAGTGCTCCAGATTTTCCACTTCGGCGATACCCCAAGGGTATTTGCGTCCTCTAACTTTTTTCCCGTCGACTTCTATCACTGTATTCGAACCCACTACGGCAAAAGGTACTCGCTCTTTTAACGATTTGTTCAATTTGTGTTCTTCATCCTCCTCTGAAGTATCCGGAAATTCGTAGATTTTGATTTTATGTTGTGCTATTTCGTTTAGTATTTGTTTTTTAAATAGCGCACACTCGTCGGACGTCAGGGTGTCCGCTTTCGCGATGATTGGTATAATGTTTACTTTATCACATAAACGTTTCATGAATTCAATGTCCAAAGATTTCAGTCCGTGACCAGATGGTTGGATAAAGTATAAACAACAATGTATTCTTTGATCTGGGATTTGTTTTCTTGTAACTCTCGCTTCGGAATTTAAATAGTCTTCATATTTGGATTCAATGTATTCAATTATTGGGGCCCAACAGTTGCTGTTGTCGACAGCGTCCCCAAAACCGGGAGTATCGACCATTGTTAAGAGCAGATTTACGCCGTTTTCTTTGAGCATAACTCTGGTGGTTTCGACAGCCACAGTCTTTTTAAGTCTTTGAGTGGGTCCCGGATAATCAGTGGAATTATAGATTTCAGTCAAAAACATGGAATTAATTAAAGTGGATTTGCCAAGGCCCGACTCTCCCACTACCATGAGTGTGAACTCGAACCCCTTTTTCACAGCTTTTCGATACACTTGATTCGGCAAGTTAGCAAAGCCCACGTAGCCGTCGAGTTCCTTCAGTTTAGGCCTCTCTTTGATGATCTCGGGAGTGGACTCCTTACTGGTGTCTTCTTTGGTTTCTGGAGGCGACGATTTGACCGGAGGTTCCGGCGGCTTCTCCATCGAAATTTTATTGATCCGGTTCGAGTCCTTGGCAATGGACGTTTCAGTTGAATTGAAAAACATCTCCCGCTTCGTTTGTATCGAACTGGATTCACTACCGTTGGTTTGCGACATCGTCCCGTTCGAACTCGCGTTCGTGGGGCTCTGCTGGTCCATGAACTTCTGGCGCATCGCGAGCCTGTCTAAACTCGAAAGCCTGTAGGAGCCCCCGATGCTGTCCTTGTCCCGGTCCCTGTTCAGGCCGCTGCCCGCGTTGAAGCTGGAGGTGTACTTGGGCAGAGTGGGCGGCGGCGTGGGTTTGTTCTCGGAGTTGCGATTCAGAAGGGCGCTACTCGAGGTGTACAGGTAACTGCTGGGCATGATGTTGGGTCTGGACTTGATGGTAGCAGTCGCCTGCGTGGTAGGGGCAGGTTGAGCATTCACATTGTTGGCACTCATTGTCGAAAACACCGGTTCGGATCTACGCTACCATTGTTGTCCACTTGCCGATTACTACGTCAGATTGACAGTTGGGATGCCGGCTATGAGTAATGTTTAGCTGGTCAGCCACGCCCGTGGCGTCTCTTCCGCTTTGCCTGAAAACACCGAATTTAGACCAAGTTTGCGTCAGATTATAACGTTATCACCGATACAATGTCGATTTCCACTCGGGCAACTGTTCTTATCGCGTTTTATCAGTCAATAATAACATATGCGGGTCACTGTCACTTTAAAGCAACTACAATTTCAACTTTGGTTTGCTTGTTGAATCCAGATGGCGAAGTTCGGCGCCCCCTCTCCGAACGATGTGCAGTTGTTGGTCGGAGGGGCGGCGCGCCGGCGTTAGTGGGGATATTTACAGTCGGCCAACTAATCTGAAATGATGGATACGGATTCGGCCATGGAATAAGCAGTGGCGTATCGACGCGAGATAAAATAGGAACGGACAACATTTTTTTTTATTTCAAGCATATTTATTTTAACTAAACATTTTGGAAAAATATAAGGACTTCGAATGATTGAATAAATATCAGTACATGCAGAAATAATTAATATTCCTAATATTAGACTGAAGAGACGGCTTCATCTTCCGCAATTTATTCTTGCAGGAAAACGTCGAATCTTTCTGTCGTGTTTAATAGAATTGATCTTATAAATAAATTTAGGATAACTAAACTCATCTACACGAAAGTATGTACCTATATTAATTTATAAAATAAAAAAATTAAAGGATTCATAATAAAAACTAAAAATAAATAGAAAATTTATACAGGTAATTAAAAAATGAGGCATTAACTGTACGACACATTATTAAAGACTATTTTTTGAACAAAGAAAAAATAATTTTAAAAATCCAAAGGCCCAAATGTAGAAAATAATTTTTTTTCACCACATTTTAGAGTACTATTTTTTGTTATGTATATGATCATGGTTTCCTTCAATTTAGAGTATCACAAAAAACTTATAAATGTTAAAAATGAGTCTGACATAATGCTGGTTAATTTTCATCTTTTTTAATCCGTTTACTTAAATATTTTGTTGTTATAACCGAACGTCAAATTGAAGTATAACGAAAATATTTTTAAAATGTTTCAATGATTTTTTTTTTAACTTGAACTTGTGACCTTAATAATATGCCGTTGAGTTGGTGTTCCATTTTTTTTTATTATCCTTGCAATACAGTGTACTGTTTTAATGTAATGTTGAAATTTATTTCTATTCTACAGACCTATATTCTCACCAAACTTATTGTCAGGTCTTGTTAATCTTGCACCAACGAAAAACTATTATTTCCCGAGTTCTAATTCGGTTTTATGATGTATAAATGTTAACTTCCTTAACAATAGATGGCTGTCCCATCACTGCCGGTGATGGGACAGTCATAAATAAGGATTTAACCGTGTCGTTACCATTATACAGTATAATGGTTAAATCCTTATTTATGACTGTCCCATCACAGGCAGTAGTAATCTATTGTTAAGGAAGTTAACTTTTACACAATGGGGTACTATCATAAAACCGAATTAGAACTGGGGAAACTATTACTTAGTTTATATCGTGGATTTCGAGCCGATCGACTCAGTCCGATCCGATTGAAACTAATGGTATAAACGCTGCAGATCGAATGTTGAAACGGATTGACTATCAAAATTCGATCCGACAAACTAGTCGGATCGAATCGAACCGATCGGATCTAAAACGGATTCAAATGCTTGAAGATGCGATGTAAACGGGCTTGAACTTTTATAGGTTTATTATTTATGTTGACCACTGCACAGATAAAAAGAAATAATGTTACACTATTATCTTTCTCCAAACGTCAAACTCAAACCAATTTCAAACTACAAATCAGTGGATCGAACGGACTGTTTTCCGTGATATAAACGCCCGTAGATTAAAGTGGGTTTGACGACTTCGATCGTCTCGAAATTCGATCGGATCGAAATCTACGATATAAACAAACTATATAACTGAAGAGTTGGTTAAACCTAAAATTAAACTGTAAAAAAATGGGTCAATTTTTGTTCTTCTAGATTCTATTCTCCTCGTACTAGACCTTATGACATCCACAAATATGTATTAATTTATTTTGAACTTTCGCACAGTCATTGATATGTGTACCCTGAGTCATGACTACACCACAATACCATATTCCAAGACAGAGCGTACAATGTACATACAAAACACAAATTAATTTGAATGAGCTACTAGAACAACCATGTATTAATTTAGAAATACATATACCAAAATAGTAAAATAAATATTTCTAAATTTTTAACCTGCGGTTGATTTTTGTCAGACGACAGTTGTTACTCTCTTGAAGAGTTATAACGATCAAAAAATATACTATGATATTTTTAAAAATATGTTTCTAAATGATTGATTATCCATATACCATCTTTACAAATATCCTGAAGTGGTAACTCCCAACTGTATAGATTTCTAATAACTTTATAAATTTTAAAATTATCTACATATAATATTGAGAGTGTTTAACTACATTACAATATTACAAATGTCATTCACATGTAAAATGAATAATAAGGGTCTACAATGTGACCCTTGAGGACCACCAGAAACCACATGTAGTTACCGCACGTGAAATCAAATTACCCACTTTTACAAATTGACAGCGGTTACTAACTAGTAAAACTTTATAACCATTTAATAAATATAGGCTTGAAATTCATATTTTTCAGCTTTGTCATCAATATGTTATGGTTCACAAGGTCAAAGGTTTTGGATAAATCCCTACAAACTTAGTGACCACTTCCCAATGTATTGATGATAAATAAACTCTGGCTATATAAATGTGTTCGTTATTAAAGTTAACCGATCTTTCATAAATCCGTGTTGGAATTTGGAAATAACGTGTTTGAATTGTATTTTCGGCCGTTCAAATATAACCCAATTAAAAAAAATGGGAAAATAAACGTAATTATCTCTACATATATGTATGTAGTTGTTTAAAACGTGAAATCGATCACATGATTTTTAAAAGAGGGATTAAATAGCTATTTTTCCAAAATTAAAAGTATAGCTCGATGTGATGTGACCAACTGCAAGCGATGCACATTACTTACCATAAATCCAAACCCTTTTAAAGAATAATAGAAAGCTAGACTATAGTAAAGCTAATTGATGTTGACCCTCCTTGACTAAAACAGAAAGGGGAATTTTAGCCCCCGCAAATCAATCGTTGGCTAAACTTTTGTCATTACCGCTTTCTCAATCGAACTAGACAGTAAAACGAGTAGCGAACGCCTATTGCTTAAATTTTTCTAACAAATTGACTCTTACGCCAAACGAGTCGAAGCAGGTACAACATTTTAAATCCAATTTGACAACTTTCTCAAGCGAGCGGAATGGCAAGAAGGGCCAAAGGTTTAATATACCAGGTAATCTCTCCTTTTTCTAGTCTAAAGTGAAAGTATTGTGACAATTGTAATATAAGTGTCTGCTTTTTTATCCACGGAACACACTACCACTCAATCGAGTTCAATAAAATTCCGTTCATATAAACCCATTTCGATGTTTCTAATATGACCAAATTTAAAATTTTTAAAGCACATATACAGAACCTTATTTCACGGCAGATAAGCTAACATTATAATCTATTGATAAAATCAATTTATATCATGTAAATAGAAAAATGCTCCTTAGAGCATCGGCTAAAAATATAGTGCGGTTATAGCGTAATTGCTACTCTTCGTACGGTAATAATTTTTACGAGTTCGTCACAATGGGAACAGTAAATCCGAATTATTTTAGTAAATCACGTGGCTTACTTAACTGTCTATGTAACGTATCTTTTCTTGTGTATATTCAATTTTATTAGAGATTCGCTGTAAAATGCGTATCAAAGCATAGTCGTAAACGCACTATATCTTCAGCTGAACTTTACCAGATATTGACATGTTTCTCAAATTTAAAACTTATTTAAAGCAGGAAAGGGACGTACTGTAACAAAATTACATGACGTAGTCGCTGAAAATTGCAGTTTATAGAGACATGAGAATTCTGTGTTTATTACAAAGTGGCTTAAAAAACTACCGAATGTGTGTATTGAAAAATAATAATTTTAATAGAGTTTTCCACATACTATACTCTATACCAAATCAATCAAAGGAAAATAATTGTTTTTTTTTTTTTATTTCGCATTAAGGTCATTGTAACAAGGGACTGATTGATAAGAATTCGACAGTTTGATGTAATACAATAACACTGAATTAGAGTTATTGGGAAGTCATGAATATTTTTCTGTTACTATTTGCTACAAATCATTTATAATTTAAATTCACAGGACAAAAATGTTGTTGACTTTCGACAAGAATCACCTCGATTAGTAAAATTGAAAACATAAAATAGAACAATAGGTCAAAACGGTAAATTAATTATTATCATGCTTTGAATTAATAAAACATTTCCTTATGAAAAAAAAACTATCACATTGTAGTTTTATGCATATCACAAACTTTTTTGCTGTACTTGAATGCTTTTGTGTTATAAGTTTTTGTTTAAAATCTTTTCCACCTTACTCTAATAGCACAGGAAACGCAGCCCCTCTATCCGCACGCCACTGTGTCCGATTTGAGCGCAACATGAAGGTTGCCCTGCGCACAGGTCGGGACACAGGGTCTAAATCGATAATGAAGACACGCATCACGCACATTTCATAAAACCAATGGCAATATTTTTAAAATAGGACACGTTTTGAATAATGATCGTTTTTCTGCACGTGCAACGTCCGACACTTGCGATTCTTTTAAAACAAACCGGTCTTCATTGAAAAAAAGAAGGTGAAGTAACTCGATACGTTCGACACGGATTTAAGCATTAAATACATAAATAGACCCTTTGTGTGGTTATTTTCGAAGCAAGCCGAGAATTGTATTAATTTCTTTTTGATTACACACACACAAAACTAATTTTTTTCTTGTAGTATTATATTTAAAATGGAATATTTAATAACGCACTGACCCACTGTTTGAGGTGGGAAAAGTTTTCGTAATTTAAACATCGGATGCGCAAAATCATGATTTTAAATCAAATATTTAAAATATCCGTTGGTTGTTACTTTGGTTTCTCGTTTATGTTTTATGTTTAAACAAATGAAATGAGAAACTTGCAGAAGTGTGAACTGTACAAACGAACATCTAGCAAATAGATGTTATAGAATCGATGAAAAAAAGTTTTTAATTATTCACACAAAGCAGAGCTAGACACTGTTGTCGAGCTTTGATGCATACTAAAAACTATACACATGTTACATACAAACTATATCTTGTATAAGTATTTCGTACTAAACTTCGATTGGTAAACATTGAATCAGAACAATAGTAACCCTTTACTATTACATAAACTTTCTTTACTTAAAAAATTTCATAATACTGCGCGTTTTTGTAACTTAAAATTCACTTGAGAACACTGCAATGCTTCTACTGAATTTAAACACACTCTGACATTTACTCGAATTTATTCAGTTTTGCACTGAATGTGATACTAACTTAATTAAGTAAACTTCGTGAGTACTGTAGAAAACAAATAAAGCACAACTATTTGTGTCAAATCAATTTTTAATGTTTATAGTTGTTCTGCATTAATAAACGAACAATTCATTTTTTTTTGTCGTTAATATTTTTCAGCGTTTAAAGAGTTTCGATTAAAGTGTTATAGCATAGCATAACCACTTTCAGTCAGGTGTAAAAATTGACCTTGAAGAAAACCACAGTATCTAATATAAGAGACCCGTACAGAATGTGTTGTTGTATGGTCATTGCTATTAATGTGATTTATATGGAACTAATTTGATCTGTTTTCTTTTCGATAAATAGTACAATCTTTAAATCCATTTTATTTGCACCTTAATACTTAATTAATTCATTTATCGATCATGCATAAAAATAATTTGTGTTTTACTTTCAAAATGACTTATTTTTATAATAATAGTACTCATTGTTATACTTTCAACTGTTTTAGCCGCCGGTTTACCTCAAATTTAGGTGGAAGTAGGTTAAAAGTCGATGATTCACAGTAGCACATGCACTTGTGTAGCAAAATTGGGAAATGAAAATATTGTGTACACATATATGTTTTAGAGCATCGAATATGATTTTGATGTTATTATGTAATACATACGTTAATATTTTAAAAGTGTTCAACCAATCGCGCCAATCATTGGGAATCATTTTAATAATAATAATAATTGATGTTTTGACATGAGATGAAATCAATTTGGTTTCATCAACTATTGTTTCAAGTCGATTGTAACTGTGTTTTTTTATAAATTTCTAACTAAACGTTATCAGACTAAGGGGAAGTTTCGTAATTTCATAAATATGTATGCACACCCAACACAGATATTTACAACTCGTCATGATCCGACAATAAATAAATTTCTAGGAAATACGAGAATTTTATTTAAATTTCTGTGTAGTACTTTATATATTACTTTTACTAGATTACTTTGAATAACGTCAATCATTTCTTTACTGCAAAAATCTACGATATTTAACGAAACAAAAATATCTGTTAAAGTGTTTTTATAAACCTATTTTATTTAAATTTGCATCTAATTAATATTGTCTTTTTTCAGGTTAAAACTGCGAAAATGCATTTATTCACGTTTATTCAGCTGTTGTGTTTGGTTGTGTTATGGATAGTAAAATCAACTGAAGCTTCTCTGGCATTCCCCTTCTTTTTAATACTGATGGTCCCACTAAGAAGTTATTTGGATCGCATATTTTCACCTAGAGAACTGAGAGCGGTAAGTTAATTTTGTTTTAGTGTAATGTGAGTTTATAACTGTAGACAAAGGAATATCAAGAAACACAAGAATGTTTATGAGATAGCTTAATTTGTTGAAAACATATTTATCTTATCAGAAATTCTACATTAACATCCGGCTGATTGACAAGGGGTCTGTTCACTGACTCATTAATGGCATCTTAAGAAACTATGTAAATCGAAGGTTCTAAGTGGTTAAAAAATATAAAGGATTCGAGGAACTTGTAACTTTTCACATGATTTAACCAGTGGTTAAAATTTTACAGCGCAACGATGTAAACCACATAATTTTGTTTATCAACGATAAAACAGTCGTTATAGGTCAACACAAATTACTTTAGATATTTTTATTCATTTATGTACTATTTTTAGTAAGAACGTGTTTCTGTTGCCTCTGTTTATGTTTAAAATAAATAATTTTATTTGATGTTTATTTCGGCATGTTCTCAAACAAAAAATGAAGTACATAATTGTAAAGTGTTTGATAAGATATCACACCGCTGATAAGCAAATCATCAAAATAAGCGAAGTATTTAAAACTTGACTTTTCTATAGGTAGCTTGCTACGGAAAACATGTATTAAACAGAACATACGTTCTGCAGCGTAACGTTGATTACAGAAAGAAGTTATTAACAACCAGTACGACAGGTGTCTTATTAAAGTAAAGTTTCGATCTTAATTTCAAGCCATAAATGGCGAGTTGCTTTCATTTTGCCCCTGGGTTATCAGTGCTCTTGTTTTAATAAATTGCCTGCAGTTTAATGAATTCTTCTTTCTTTGAAAACTATTGTAGCTACTGTTGAAATAAAAAAATCGTGTACATTTCAAGCAATTTTGATTAGCCGTTGTTAGCATTTGGCAGAATATGAAAATACAGATTTTCTGTTATCGGCTAGTCGTCTGCCGGACGTCTGTTGCAAAACTGTTAGACAGATAAGCTGCGAAACTACTGGACTAATTAATATGAAATTTTATATGTATTTTACTATATGCTTTTCAAAATTTGGGACTGTTTTAAGATACCTTTCAAGAAAATGACCACGTAAGTGTCTGACATATCATAACTCCGTTACCTGTGATTTAACAAGCCACTATTTTACTTTAGGTATGCACATTCTAAAAAAATATGTTTGAACCAATACATTTTAGTTACATAATAATCCTTTCGAAATTTTAATTGATACTTTTCTAACTATGAATCCAAAAATTGTCTCAGATATAACTCGCCTAACTTCTGTGAAATTTTAATAGCAAAAGAGAGTAAGTATTCGGAAAAGATTGAAATTAGTATAAAAAATAAGCTACACAAATCCAAAATGCATCAGTGTCATGTCTTTGCTGAATACCCTTCGTATCAGTTCACCTCGCTCCCTTGTGGTTCTTTGTAACCATTTGTCACAATAAACGCAGTTCTTATTCGTAGATTAAACTTTATTCCTTCGGATACGTTGTAGATAGGTACACATAAGTCATGTCGTACAGTATACTAGACTGTCCTTTAAAAGACAAATTTGTTTGTCCGGAAAACATCGATCCCAAGGTTGTCTTTCGTCCTTCATTCATATTATTTTGTTTTGAAGTTACACGATATCTTGATTTATGCTACAGTGATCCTGCATTTATTTTTATTTAGGAAGGATGTTGTTTGAATGATGTTATTTGTTACTAATTAATGCATCTGCATTAATAGATTTACACTTTATGATATTTTAAAATCGTAAATCGACCCTTTAATAAGGAATATTGTATAGTGATACTTTCTCATAATTTGGTTTTTGTTATACACCCTAAATTACGTTTAAAAAACTGAAAGAATGCAATCTGTGTCGTTAATGTAAAGATGATCGACCTTTTTTTTGCATTGTTTTTTGTGTATAACTGTCGTGAATCATTTATAAATACTTAACTAATTTCTGCCATGATTATCTGTTGGCAATAATAAATCAACATCGCTATTATATTACTCACTTGAGTGATTAAAGAAATTACTTTGACCTATACAATCACAGAGGAATAATAATAAGTTTAATTACAATAACTTAAATTCAATTCAGCTCTCAGTTAGGTCCATTTATTAACCAAAGACACTAAAAACCTATTCTAAATTAAGTGCTGACAGTTAGACGCGTGCAATAATTTATAACAGAACATACGGTAAAGGTGTTGCTGCTGAAATTAATAAGATGACTATAAAATTTGTTAAGTAATTTTTTAATTTTTATATGTACTTACTTGTAGCAAATAAACGACTGTTAAATTTTTAACTCAATTTCTTCGATTTTATAAAACAGTTAGACAGAAAATTTATAAAAATAATGTGGAGCGACATTAGTACTTTTAGACCAGCAATAGATTTAATGTAAACTAATTGTTTTACTCATTTATTTATCGATACGAAAGCTTGCAGTCAATCGTTAAAAACCAGTACAGCTGCTTTAAGTTTACTTCGTGTTAACTTTCACTGATTACGCATGCATAATTAGGCCTGTTTTCGTTATATATTTTTACAAAATTATAGCGTCAGTGGTTCATTTTATAAAATGGTAATTCTAAATACGTGGGCTTGTGTAGTGTGTAGATCATATGGAAGTTTGTACTCTTCTGTTGTGTAGTGAAACTATAAATACGGCTTCCTATGAATTTACGCAGACCCTTTCATTCAATTTCTGTAACTGTAATGTTTACGATTCCAACCCCACGTAGAAAAATAAATATTTGAAGCCATACCTTCGGAAATGTATGTGTTCTGGACTGTATGTGTACCGTATGGATGTGGCGTCTTGTATACTTGTTATTTTTAGCAAGCTGCCATTAGTTTTTTCAATTTTGCAGATTTGGTGTAGTCGCGGAAAATATGTAGATAATCTAAAAATACTTAATTTTGAAATAAACATAAAATTTTGAGTAAACGAGAACATTAATTTTTGATAAAATCAAATTCAACTGTCGTGTCTGTTCTCGACTGGTTAGTTCAGTTTTTACTTTCATATGTTGGTGGTTTTGTCACTACCTTAGAAGTTATTTTCAAAACCTAACCGACCAGAATATTGATTGGTTAAATATAGCTTTAGTTGATTAAATTCACTTTTACTTTTTAAATTATCTTGCTTTTACATCTCGAGCGTAAGCTCCATTTGATGAGTAGCTAATTTCACCTTTCCGTGACTTTAGAATGCGAAAAATGAGTTCTTCCGTTTCAACTTGTCTGTTGAAAATTTTATTGATGGAGTAATCATAGAAACCACGGGATTACTGCGAAATTGTAGGTGTATTTTACGGATATCGTGTAGATAGCAAAACGCTAATCAAAATTTATCTGTTCATCCCTTCCAAAAATTCGGTGATGGCATCTGAAAATTTTATAAAAATCTCGTTTGAAATATGCATACTTCCGTACAGAATTGTTTTGTCTCAAAAGATTAATTAATGAGTCAGTACAGTTTATTGATTCTGTTGTAATTAGTGTTACCTTATACATATCAAAATTGATTTCTCTTCCCCACTAAAAATCTGATGACGTTATTACCTGTTTTATCTCCAGCTTAATGATATGGATTGTGCTTTTGAGACGAACTTAGTTCTTTTATTTCACTATAATTTTTTGTAACGCATACTTTCCGAAACTGTTAAATAATGCTTAAAATTTGGTAAACCGATAAAACAGTTTTATTTGAAGTCGGAGAAACGAGACTTGAATGACCTGACAATAGAAAACTAGCACATGTTGTTTCTGCTGATGCGATTTCTCATTGTAAATTATCCGTTTTTATATTGGGTGTTCGGGTTGTTCACGACTTCTGTGAAAACGTTACGGTCCGAACACTTTCGTTTGAACATCGTGAGAGTTGTGTTAATTATTTCTATAACCGTAGAAATCAAATAAATAAGTTATCTGATGCAGAAAATAATAACACGTAGCGCAAATCATTCAGAAATTTTGTGTTACTACTTGACTTGAAGCAAAACCGATACCTGTTATATGTTAAGAGTGATTTTAATTTTAATAAGCATAATGTTTCTGCGTTCTTAGAACTTAGTGTCAGTTTAGATCTGTTGTAGACAAAATTAGGGGTGGATTATTAAAAATAAGGAAAGGGGCACGTGATACGCCATATTTCGAAAGATATCTTGAGATAACTTTACAAAGAAAACATAAAGTTCTTCGACAAAATGATCTGATTAACATTTCGTAGCTACCAAGAAATTCAAAATCAGAAACTAAAATTACTGATTGTGATTTTAATGAAAATAAAAGTGGCTCAATGTTAGATAAAATTCAGTTTTATCTAAGGGAGATTGACCTTCAGTAAATAATGAACAGTTAACTTTTTTCTTGTAAATTATTTGATAACATTCAACCGGAATAAATAGTTTTGATAACAGTAATCAGTTTTTCTTGCTGAAAAAACTATAAAATTGTCTGATGAACTTTATTTCATATTTATTATTAAATTATTCGGTGATACAATTGTAATATAAATTTATGGAAACATTAGTTCAAGAAAAAAGATTTCGCATTAAATTAAAGTGAGCGTAAAATTTTCAATTTGAATCGAATAAATTGAATCATGCTTTGTTCTGTTTTATAGCCGTTTATTAATAACTTTTACAATCATGTAATGTCGAATTGTAAAGCCTGGAATAAATTTTATATAAAATTCAGCTGGTTACCTTCTGAGTTATGACTATCCATATTTTTTCATTAGAAACCTCAGTTTTTAATCATATATTTAAAAAAAACAATTGTATAAATAGGCAGATATAAAAATGTTGTTGCTTCGCTAAAAAACATCTTTCCACGTCATTCTTACGATTTCACTCGAATGATACCTTGTGAAGAAATTGAATTTTGTTATCTACATTTTCATGGACGAATTTATCGAGTAGAGAAAAAAAGTGTTCACTGTCGACTGATTTGTGTTAAAATAGCATTTAACATGCTTGAATATACACCTTTCAGTGAAAAAACGCATCGAAATGCTTGTCATGATACGATATAGAGAGAGAACACGTACCTACTAAGAAATATGTGATTTATTTAATACTTCACATTCAGATTGCTCAGTTGTGGCATTAACGACGAGCAAAAGAGTGATAAAATTTATACAAGTACGGGTGTATTCAAGATCTTCCTGATGCTGTATCTAAATTTATTCGTCCGTAAATATAACCCGTATGAAAAGTCATGTGACGAGCGTCATTTTTTATTATTTTCATATTTATTACTGTTCCAGCGATTTTGGCAAATCTCTTTCTTGGATTTTTTGCCGATGTTATTCTAGATTTTACAAACAATTATTTTATGTTATGTCATTTACAGCCAAAAGGAAAAAAGATTAATCTAACTTTACGTTGTATCTGCATAATACTGAAAATATTTAATAAAACTGATTAAACTATCGCGTGGTGAAACCGCAAAATGTAACGGTCTCGTTAATGGGACACCTAAGATGAAAAATATGCATTTAGCTCGTTAGAGAAATTCCAAAGCTGCTTTGTGTTTATGCAACACTAGTCGCTGAAGTATGAGAAGATCTAAATAATCGATTTTCCTTGTGTAAACAAACAATTCGTTGTTAACTTTTAAACTGATAAAGTTGTTTAATTATTTCAGCTTGATGGAGACCAACCGGATGCCGATGACGACGAACCTGACTTCTATGCGGAGGCACCACTTCCGGGATAGGAACTTAGTTACTTAATGAGTACATTTCCTTTACTTAAGGTATACTTCCTATATCGAACGATAAGGAAAAAGTATTTCGCATTTTTTTTTGTGATGTTTTTTGTCCAGAGGCTATTCTATGCAGTTACATGCGATACTTAATCTGATAATTTTAGTTTGTGTGGTATTTTGTTAATGGGCTTTAAAGTCTACTTATTAATAGTATAGGATAATAAATTATTTTCTTATAAGCGGATGGTCTAAAAGGCAGAAAATTTGTGTATGACAACAACTCGTGACAATTTTACAACAGTATTAATAACTAATTATTCTGTCTATATTTTTGAAATAATTTACAATCCTTCTTATATCTGCATGCATATGCAAAATTCAGCACGCGTTCGTATAGTATATCCTATTTAAATAGACTAATACTAAGACAGATATATTTAGAAGGAAAAATGTTACAAGACTATTGAATTACTATGTTAATTAATTCTTGTTGCACTCGTATTATAAAATGGATGCTTTCTTTCTTATTGTTTATGTTTGTTAATTATTTGTAGACATTTTTATCACAACTTTGTTTATTTATGTTGAACTTTATTTTGTATTCTTTGAGAAAAAATCAACAACACAGTTTGTAGATAAAGAAAAATTAGCTAGATATTCACTACATTGTAGAACTTATTATTTAGTAACAATCGTGTTGGATATTTCCAAGTCTTTTTCCAGATTTTTAGAAATAAATATTGTAAAGTGGTTTAGTTAGGTATTACTAGAAGACTGTGATTGGAATATGGCTCACTATGGTGCGGAATGATAAATTAGTTGCCTTTGTAGTTTTTAAATTTATTAGTTACATCGAAATTTAGGCTTCTTCTATACATTAAGTAGAGACAACCGTACAAACATTATCAGGGTGACTACATGATACATCAAATTAATTTTGGGCCAACTTGTAAAATAAGAGTAAAACCGAAACGTAATAAAACCGAAAGGAGGTACTTTTACTGTCGGGAATAAATGGAAGAAAATAATACTACATTTCATAAATTCATAGCGATGCTCAGTCAAAAGCGTGTCATATGCGCAGAAAAACATTTTATTGCATTTTAACTTTCAACAAAGCCTAAATAAAGAATTGCAAAATTCTAATTAATTTTCAGATGTGACTTCATTTTCGAAACCTTTGTTTCTCGTTGACTTTGTTGTGTAGATAATCGAAATAAATCAAAAATGTATTATGTTGTCAGCCTTATCGATCAAAAGGTAACAAATTGTGGTTGATAACTTACGAGTTTACGATTCGTTGATTGTAAGATGTTTAAGCAACTTAAATACAGTATTTTCCGAGATTAACTTTAACAAAATTTTCAGATTCTGTAGATTAGATTACAGAACAGAACTTAATTGAATAGTATTTCTAACTGTGATTAAAAATGTCTATTCTATTTCTATAAATGAATAAATAAAGATTAGACTGCATTGTGTTTTTGTTGTACCTGTGATTCTAACATTTCTTTGAAAAATTTTAGAACAGATTCTGGGCATTCAAACTTCACTTTTGTTGGTGTTACTCTGTCGACATAGTAGATGGGTGTAGGGCGCAGAATATCAGCGACACCAGTTTCGAAAATAGTGAAACCAGTAACGACAATTATTTATCCTCTACAGTATCAGTTAAGTGCTGCAATGATTGAAAAACCATGCAGACCCGGATATGAAAATCCACGGAGTCCCCTAGGCCTAGGAACTACCATCAAGAACCTTTTCACTATCCCCTCAGCATAACTCCAATGTGGGTTAACAATGGAGGACGCCACCACTCCGGTGGAGCTTGGAAGCCCGCCCCAAGCTACAGGATTTCTCTGCCTAGGGGGCACCTCTGACAAGGATTTTTTGTGAGAGGCTATGTATTCGGTATTTGCGTCAATCGTCTTAAATTTGCACTTAATGAGTGGACCTTAGAGGGGTTTAATTGCCTCCTCGTCTCCCTCCCATAAGGCTAACTCACAATGATCAAAGCCTAAGCCTTTTTAAATCCTCCGTGTGCCCGGCGACCAGTAGTTGAAGTTCCATGCCACTTCACTCTGATTTGGGAGCCAGAGTGCTGCTACTGTCGCTTTCCTCATGACTATCAAAGGCTCTTCAGGATGGCTGGTCGGGATACAAGATTCCCCCGCTCGCGCAACTGCCTGACTTTCTCGTACTCCTTTACGCGCCAGGAATGAGAGGAATTTCATTTTACCTCCATGGTACATACTGTTACGAAGCAAACCCATACGCCGCCTATGGTTTTCTAGTATGTACGGTGATGAGCGGTGGGGACTCATCATCAGTGACGACTGCGTTCGGATAGAGAAAAGCCTGGATGCGGTGCCGGAAGTCTCGATGGAGGACTCCAGAACAACCTCGAAGACGGCGTTCGTGAATTGCCTAGAAGAACGCATCGCGGTTTAAATAGAGACAACCGTCGGGAACGGGTAGTCAGTCAACGAGAGAACTAGCGTGAGCGTCTAGTCTAATCCAGCGGAGTCGAAAAATAAGTACGCGCAAAGTTGAGTCAAATTTCTATTACTGAGGAATGCATTGAGTATTGAGTTGAGTTTTACCCACGCCGATTTTAATTACCGACCAGCGTGCCAATACAATGCATATTACGTTAGCGAAGAGAAGCAATAGCGTGCGGTGCTCAGGTATAGTCTAGTGGTGGAAGACCCATTTGAATGAAACATGAAAGCGTGGCACTCGATTAAATTTTATTGTTATTATTATTATTATTTAAGACACATCACTGAACAAGAATAGAAACAGAGTAAAATCCCTGTATTAATAAGGTCTGCGTATGTATGTCTACTCCCGCCGGACGCTATTTTAAAGACCAAAGACCACAAGCCTTACTATGACGTCATCAAATTAGCAGCTTATCTGAAATACCAATTTTCAGATACACTCCGGTTAATGATAATGAAGGAATAAAGAATTAGTACACAATATTCAATAAACTTTCACATTCAGATTGAATTTTTTAAGTAATTTGTTATTTTACAACTTAGAATGCAAGGGAATTTTGTTGTAAATGTTTTTGTTTTATTTGCAGCATTTTATAAAAATACAGGGTGTCCCAGAATTCGCGCCATTCCCGTGAATGACATGTTCCCTGTCCCGAACTGTGCCGTAATTCGCAAAAAGAATTGTCCAGGCTTTAACCGTGTGAGAACTGGAAGGCGATTAAGTTGACCAATAGAGAGGCTGCTTTTATATCCGAACGTTTCTATGTTCAAAGTTACCTATGCCAAGAACAAAAAATCGGGTAATACTAAAGTTGAATGAATTTTTTCCGAATCCCCCTCCGTCAACAAAGAAAACAGAAGTATGGTTATAAATTTAATCATTTTGACAATTGTTTGTCATAAACTGTCACGAAGTTCATCACTGATCTGAAGAGACGCTTCTGCGCCAAAGATGACTGATTAATGTACACAGAGAGGTCAAGGTTTAGTTTGAGGCAAGTAGCATGGAACAGAAGTTATTTCTGCTGCCATTCTAGTTAAATTGTGTTTAACTGGGCTGTACATGTCATAAGAGAAGCTGTTTCATTTCATCGTAGGCAAATAATACATTTATTACTATTCTACATAGAGTAGCTACCGAAAAGCAGGTATTAGAAGTCATTTTCTTAGAGCCCCGTGAATAATCGTCGGCACCCAGACCAACAAGTGTTTCACCGATTGTTACATCGAGCAAGAGAAGATGGATCTTTTCAACCTAGTCGGAAAGGCCGTGCTGGGGCTCCACGGAATGTACGTGTGGGTGCTGAAGAGCAAGTGTTAGAAAACATGGAAGCGGATCCTAGGAGAAGTGTCCTCTATGTAGCGCAAATGAGTGGATGCTCAAGATCGACCACTCATCGTATCCTTCAAGAGAGAATACTGCATCCTTACCATTACACGAAAGTGCAGCATCTGCGACCAACCGACTACCCGCGACGAGTACATTTTGCTCAATGATTTTTGCAACAAAATGAACTAAATCCTGATTTTTCACGGCGCATTCTTTTCACCGACGAATGTTCATTTTCCCGAGAAGGAATGTTTAATGCACACAGTTGGCACTTCTGGGCACACGAAAATCCACATCTCACTAGGGTGAGAGCGTATCAGGAGCGATTTACTATTAATCTATGGGCTGGAATCATTGGTACTACTGTGGTAAAAATTTTAATGCATCTGATAAAATCACTAAACTCCGTTCCTGTTTTTTAGGTGGGGCCGTTTGTGTTACCTGATCACCTTATTTTAATTAATATATGCATAGCGAACTCAGTTTTTCCGAAATGTTTACAGGTAGCTTCTGTTGCACCTGTGCATAAAAAAGGGGATATCAACGACGTAAACAATTACCGCCCGATTTCACTTTTACCTATTTTTTCTAAAATTTTTGAAAGTGCGATGCTGGACCAAATTGTCAAACACCTGACTTTTCATTGCCTAATTTCTGACAGTCAATACGGATTCCGCAAAGGTCTGTCAACTGAAAAGGCCATTCTCTCCTTCATTAACAATGTCACAATGGCTTTTCAAAACAAAGGCTATACTGCAGCTTATTTTCTAGATCTTAGCAAGGCCTTTGATTGTATGTCACATGATATATTAATAAACAAACTCTCGTGTTACAATTTTCACCCTACTGCCATAAAATTATTGCGATCATATCTTTCGGATAAAATTCAAATTGTAAATGTTGATGGTGTTTCATCTGAAGCAATGAAATTAAATTACGGGGTTCCGCAAGGTTCCATCTTGGGACCTGTGTTATTTTTAATGTATGTTAACGATCTGCCTTCTTTTCTGGCAAATTATTTAACTACACTGTTTGCAGATGATACTGTTATTAGTAATAATGTGACTTCTATGCAATCAATCGCCCCTTGTCTAGAAAACATCCACACTGAAGCTGAACTCTGGTTTTTAGCAAACAGACTCTGTGTGAACAAAGATAAGTCCTCCGATATGATTTTTAGTTTGAAGAGAGATTGTCCAGTCTTGAACAATAATCAAACAAACAAATTCTTAGGGATCATGGTAGATACAAAGCTATTATGGCAAGAGCACGGGAATTATATAGCAAATAAAATTTCCAGAAATGTATATTTATTGAGAAACTTATCGAACAATGTTGACTGTGAGGTTTTAAAAATTGCCTATTTCGCTTTAGTACAAGCTCACCTAACTTACGGCATATTAATTTGGGGACATAGCTCTGCAATATACAAATTGTTTCGACTTCAGCGAAGGGCGGTCAGAATCATTGCAAATCTTGGATACCGGGATGACTGCAAATCGTATTTCAAAACACTAAACATATTGACATTACCATCTCTATATATTTACCATAGCTTAAAATATATCCTCCTGGAAATAGTGTCTTTTCCCACATTAAGCTCCTTTCACGACTATCACACGCGATCAGCTGACCTGTCGATTGAATATTGGCGGATTTCGCGCTGTAGAAATGCTATTAATTATTATTGTATATTATTTTTTAACAAGCTGCCGTTAAGTTACCGACAACTATCATCTAAGGAAGCTCTAAGGAAAATAAAATCATTTTTAATGGCAAATGCATTTTATAGCATTAATGAATATTTAGAGTACAATTTCAGTTTGTAATTTATAGAAATATAAGTACCTTTTTGTATATTCTTTTTTATGACGACTGTAACTTTTAGTTTAACACAATAAAACATTACTTACTTACTTACTTACTTACTTACTTACTTACTTACTTACTTACTTACTTAATGGGGAGGCATATGCTAATTTTCTACGACTAGAGCTTCCGGCGTTGTTGGAAGACGTTCCTTTGAATGTACGGCGGAATATGTGGTTTCAGCACAACGGCGCTCCTCCACATAATTCGATACTTGCACGGCGAACATTGAAAAGAGTCTATCTATCTATGTTAAATAATATACAACACAACATAATGCGACGAGCTAGAACTGGCATTGAAGTTAATGGTGATCATTTTGAGCACATTGTTTAATAACGTTACGGTACAACGATTCCGGCCCATAGATTAATAGTATTGCTCTTGATATGCACTCACGTTAGCCAAATGTGGATTTTCGTTTGCCCAGAAGTGCCAATTGTGCGCATTAAATATTCACATGCTGGTCAAGGAGCCGATGATTGGGGAAAAGACCTGTATATTCGCACACAGCAGTGGCTGCATAGCGTTTACATTCTCCATAAATTAACATCATTTCCAAATATTCTTTATACTAGTATGAATAAGACATCAGTGACTTAGTGGTATTGGTACTGATTTGTTTATAGTTTGTATTGTTCTTAAAAAAAAATGCAACTACACGATTTTTGTTATAATTTTTATTCGTATCTTTTCACTCTCTAGAAAGTACTCGCAACTTTAAAGAAACTGTTTTAAATCATCATGTGCAACATCAATATTATTCTTGAATA